CCCGCGGAGCGGCTGGTAGTTTCGAACCGCTGACCTTAAGGTTCGCAGCCCGATTCGTAACCACTACGCTACCAGAGGGCTCCATTAATACAGAGAAGCAAAAAGAAAACAAGCAAACAAAGTCACCTGTAGGCCGCCAGCCAGCGATATCCACTTTGAAATAAGGTGGACTTTGTGACGCCTATTAATCGATTTCCTTTTGCTCCTTTCCTTGGCCCAGATTTCAGTGCAGTGTTTGACATCCACGTGGTGCGTGTTACCACAACTGAAATGCAGTTGGAGTGGCAGAGTACAGACAGTGCTTCCAGATACCTCTACCATTTAAATATACAGGCTGAAGTCAGCTCCAACGAAACGGTCAGCTACCAGAAAAAGATCAATCTGAGCGGTCTCATGCCGGGCACCCTATACAACATCACAATCACTCCGGAAGTGGGTGGTGTCCGCGGGATCTCCAGCTCCACTGTAGAATACACACGTAAGTCTCTTGGGTCACCATTCCAAGGGCGTGCTCTCTCTGATTTTCACTTGGCGGGCAGGAAGTAAGTTCAGTTGACCCTTGAATAACACAGGTTAGGGGCGCTGACTCCCTATGCGGTTGAAAAAACGGTATTGCACTGAACACCAGGAAAATACACAAGAACCACAAAAGATGACTTTTTCCTGTGATATGCAATTTACTGGATACGTGATGGCTCATGTGGGGATGAATAGCATCCCGGGGTGGTTAAAAAAATAAATCCATATGTAAGTGGACCCGTGCTGTCAAGCTTGTGTTGTTCAAGGGTCAACTGTTGGTTAAATGTTCAGATAAGGATTGATTCCATTTCTGGGGTCCAGGTTGAATTTGAAATGGCTTAATTGGAAAGCATTCATGGAGCACTGCTCTAGAACGGCTGGCTGTGAACTTGGCATCGTCTTTAGAAGCTGTAAGTCTTCCATTAATTCCTTGGGATACAGACTAGAAGAGAGTCATCTTACTCTGCTGGCATTGAACATAATTCCAGGGTGAGGGACTTAGCATGTAACTGTGATGGAAGTATTTTCCCAGTGTTGTTGGGTGCTGTTGAGTCATCTCTGACTCATAGTGACCCCATACACAACAGAACAAAACACTGCCTGGTTCTTTGCTATGGTCATAGTCATTACTAAGTTTGAGCCCCTGGGTCGGTCAGTCCATCTTGTTAGGGTCTTCCTCTTTTTTGCCAACTCTCCACTTTACCAAGCGTGATATGATGTCCTTCTCCAGAGACTGGTCCCTCTTTTTAATGTGTCCAAAGTATGAGAGATGAAGTCTTGTCATCCATGTTTCTAAGGAGCATGCTAGCTGTACTTCTTCCAACACAGATTTGTTTGTTCTTCTGGCAGCCCATGGTACTGTCGATATTCTTCTCCATCACCATAATTCATCATTTCTTCTTTGTTCCTCCTTAGTTTTGTCCACCTTTCACATGCATGTGAAGCATGAGTTGGGTCGGGCACACTTTAGTCCTCAGAGTGACATCTTTGCTCTTTAACACTTTAATGAGCAGATTTGCTCAATATAATACATCATTTGATTTCTTGCTTCTGGCTTCTTAGAGTGTTAATTATGGATTCAAATAAAATTGGTAGCATCAATCTTTTCTCTATTTACCATAATGTGATTTATTGAGAATTTTTGTTTCTTTTACATTGATTTATAATGCACAGTGAAGGCTATGTTCTTTGGTCTTCAGTAAATGCTTCAAATTCTCTTCGCTTTCAGCAAACACGATTGTGTCCTCTGCGTATAGCAGGTTTGTGATGATATTACCTCTAATCCCAGTGCTCCGTTCTTCAGGTAGTCCAGCTTCTTGGATTATTTGCTCAGCATATAGACTGAATAAATTTGGTGAAAGGATACAACTCTGACATACCTTTCCTGCTTTTAAACCACATGGTATCCCCTTGGACTGCTTCTTGATCTATTTTCAGGTTCCTCTTGAGCACAATTAAATGTTCTGGAATTTCCATCCGTAGCTTGTCATGATCCACACAGTCAGATGCCTTTGTATAATCAATAGCATTCAACTTTTAGCCAACCTCCATTGTACGTTAGCAATGGTATCTCTTATTGCTTGTCCTCTTCTGAATTGACCTTGAATTTCTGGCAGCTCCTTGTTAATATACTGTTGCAGTCATTATTTAAATATTCAGCAAATTTTTATTTATGTGTGATAGTAATACTATTGTTCAATTATTTCCACATTCCTTTGGTTCATCTTTATTTGTAATGGGCACAAATAGGATCCATTCCAACACTTTGGTCATGTAGTTAGCTCTCTTTCATATTTCTTTGCATAGGTGAGTGAGTGCTTTCAGTTTGTTGAAACATTTCATTGATATTCCATTAAATCCTGGTGATGGTTGGTGGTTATGTGCCGTGGAGTCAGTTCCAACTCATATTGACCCTGTACAGGGTTTAAAGCCTCATCTTTCTCCTGCAGAACAGCTGGTAATTTCGAACTGCTGACCCTGAGGTTAGCAACCTGATACTTAACCACGACGCTACCAGAGCTCAATTCCTAGAGACTTGTGTTTTGTGAATGCCTTCAGTGTAGCTTGTTGGATATTTTCCTTCAATACCATCAGTTCTTGAACAGATGCTACCTCCTGAAATAGTTGAATGTTAACTCAGTGTACTCCTTCTATCTTATGATGCTTCCTGTCTTGTTCAATATTTTGCCCATAGAATCCTTAAACATTTCAGGTTGTAGTTTCAGATTTTCCTTCATTCTTTCAGCTTGAGAAATGCTGAATGTGTTCTTCCCTTTGAAATTTTCTGTTCCATCATTTCTTCTAGTTGCTTTAGCTATTCTAGGTTCAAGAATCATTTTGATCTTTTTTTTTTTTTTTTCCTGTCTTTTTAGTGACCTTTCCTTTTGCTTTTTTCATATATGATGGTCTTGTATTATCCCACAACTCCTCTGGCCTTAATGCGTCACATCTGTTCTTGAGGTGGTCTCTAAGTTCAGGTGGGATGTACACAAGGTCATACTTTGGCTTTTGTGGACTTGTTTTAATTATCTGGAGCTTTAGCCCGAACTTGCATATGAGCAGTTGATGGTCTGTTTCATAGTTGGCTCCTGGCCTTGTTTTGGCTGATGATATTGAACTTCTCCATAATCTCGTTCCACAGATATGGTCAGTTTGATTCTTGTACATTCCATCTGGTGAGTTCCACATGTATAGTCACTGTCTATGTTGTTGAAAATGATATTTATTGGCAACGAATAAGTTGTTGGTCTTACAAACTTCTGGTATGCAATCTCCAATCTTATTTCTATCAACAAGGTTATACTTTCCAAGTACTGATTCTTCCTCTTTGTTTCCAACTTTCACATTTCAATCACCAATAATCACATTTCAGTCACCAGTAATCAATGCATCACATGTTTAATCAGTTTCCTACTGAGTAAGTGGGTAAAATTCTTCAGTTTCTTCTCTGGCTTTAGTGGTTGGTGTGTAAATTTGAATAATAGTTGTAATAACTGGTCTTCCTTGTTAGAGTAAAGTTATTAGCCTATCGCAGACAGTATTGTACGTCAAGACAGATCATGAAATGTTCTTTTTGATGATGACTGTGACACCATTTCTTTTCAGCTTATCATTTCCGGCATAGTAAATGATATGATTCTCTGATTCAAAATGACCAATACCGGTCTATTTCAGCTCATGAATTGTCTAGAATATTGATCTTCATGTGTTCCGTTTAATTTTTGATAACTTCCAGTTTTCCTAGATTGATACTTCGTATGTTCTACATTCTGATTATTAATGGATGTTTACAACTGTTTCTTCTCATTTTATACCATGCCTCATCAGCAAATGAAGATCCTGCCATGTTCCTCAGTCAGCTCTTCTTTGTGGAGGCAGGGCTTTCTTAGTTGGATTTTGAGTGCTTTCCAGCTTGAGGTGCTCATCTGCTGCCACCATTTCACTGCTCCTCATCTGGTTTTCAGGGGCCTAATCCCTCAGAAGTGGACCGCCTATTCCTTCTTCCTAGTTTGTTCTTAATCTAGACGATCCGCCGAAACCACCATGGGTGACCCTGATGGTATTTGAAACACTAGGGGCATAGCTTCCCCACAAAAACCACCACAGTATGTATGACATGCTGACAGGCATGTGGGTGTTTTTCCAACGTCTGACATAAATTTACTGTATAGATGAGCTAGCTGTTCATAATACCTTTTCAATGTATTTTTCTTATTTGATAATCCAATAAAAAAACAAAAAACAGGAAATTATATGTTGAAAATAACTTTTGAGTTAATCTCCATTACTCTTAAAAGAAACCTGAAAAACTTCCAATTCTTCTAAGCTGTCATCTCTACAAGTGTTTTCTGAATGTCTTGTTGGGAGCCTTTCCTTCTATGAAATAATAGTTTTGTTCATTCTTTCTCCAAAGGAGCCAGGCTGTTTTTGGATGCAGTAAATAAAACAGCCTTGGAAGCCAAGCTAATTCTCACTTCTTCTTTTTCTGAAATAAAGAGCCCAGCAATGTGTCCAACATTGAAATAAGTACCAACACCACAGCGGCAACTTTTAGCTGGCAGAACTTTGATAACGCCTCTGCTACGTACACGTACTCTCTCCATATTGATGGGAATGCCAGCAGCCCAATGGAAGTTATCACGGATGTTGGGATCACCAGTATGACAGTTACTGAGTTGATACCTGGCTCATCTTACACAGTGACGATCTTCTCACAGGTTGGGAATGTCACTAAGGGGACATCCAGCTCTGAGTCATTCTGTACAGGTGAGGAACCCTAGATGCTTTTGGCCTCCTTCTGTTCTATTCTGTTGACCTTGTGTATCCTGTAGTCATTGGCATTGAGCTCCCTGAGACTCTGTTGATCTCTTCATTTATTCATTCAACAAATATTTAATTGAGCACTTACTACATCTTAAAATGAAATGGACAAGTCTCCAACTTCTGGAAACTGATTCTTGTGGGAAGGACAGATAGTAAACAAGAGAGATAAGCAATTTATTGCATGATGATTAGTGGTAAGGAGAGGGGAGGAAAGCAGTAAAAGGGAAATGAAATGTTTCTCCAGGGCACTCAGTGAAGGCTTCAATAAACAAGGTGACTTTTGGGCAAAGACCATGCCGACATCAGGGCATAGAACATACCAGACTGAGGGAATAGTCAGTGCAAAGGTCCTGACGCTGGAGCAGGACTGCTGCGTTGGAGGAAGAGCGCGAGGTCATGGTGGCGGGAGTGGAACCACCAGAGAAAGAGGATGAAGGGTAGGAACTGAGACAGAGCGGTAATGGGTAGGGGTATGCATAATGTTGGGCCTTGAAGTTTATAGTGTATCAGTGTAAAAGTCATTGTTAAACAACGGGATAAAGTGGTCATTTGTTACCACAGAATTAAGAAGTGAATCCACACCCTAAGCTTCCACTGATTTGCAGAATGAGACAGTATTAACCATACCAGGTAAAGCAGGATGGTTGACAGGCCTGGAATGAGATGATGCAGGTGAAGGAGTGGGTAGCACTCACAGAATGACCGTGCTTCTGCTCAGGGGTCCAGCATCCTGCTTGACTGACATCGTTATTTCATTTCATCCTCAAATAGCCTGCTGTGTGGGCTCAGAACTGCTAGGTGGTGGTGGGTGCTATCCAGTTGGTTCCGATTCATGGCCCCCCAGGTGTGCAGAGTAGAGCTGTGCTCCTTAGGGGTCTCAAGGCGATGGCTTTCTGGAAGCAGATCATCCGACCTGTCTTCCAAGGCGCCTTCGGGTGGGTTCACAGCACCAATCTTTCTGCTGGTAGTTGAGTGCTTAACCTGTTGCACCACCAAAGGAACTCCTTGACCCAAGGCCACACAGCTATGTGTTACTCGATTCAGGGTCAGCCTCTGCCTCCTCCTTCCCCATGCCGCATACCTGCCTCCTCATCACTAATGAGCTGGGAGTCCTCCGCTCCCCTGTTTCGGTGTTTGTAAAAGCAAATATTCCAGAAGCTCACACTGTGTTGTGCTTGCTGTGTAGATGCTGCACCGGTGGGCTTCCACTGTGAGATGGTCCCCAAAAAACCCACCTTGCTTCTCACCTATGCCTGTCCTCCCGGCACCAATGCTGGCTTCAAGCTGGAGGTCAGCAATGGAGCCTGGGAGCACGAGTTGGACCTGGAGAGCTGCACTTTGGAGAACACCACCATTTACAGGAAAGAGGTCATGTATTTGAATTTTTCTACCTCGTACAACATCATCATGACCACCTTGTCCTGTGGAAATAGTTCATCCCCTGCCCAGAACATCTGCACCACTGGCATCACAGGTAGGCACCAGACCAGAAGAGCAGTCACATGGCATTGTGGGTACCCCAGCGTGATGATGACAAATGTGGCCTTGAAATCAGTTTGTTTTTCCTTTCTTTAATCTGCCTCCAGAGTCCTGGTGTGAGGCTGTGGGTTAATGTTCTGGACTGCAAAGTCGTTTTGAACTGCAAGGTCGGTGTTTCAGGCTCACCAACTGCTGCTTGGAAACCCTATACAGGTGGCTATGGGTTGGAACTGACTCGACGTCACTTAACAACAATATTCCCCCAGCTATTTATTATCTTTATTTAGTTAATATATTGTTGTTAAGTGCCATCGAGTCGATTCCGACCCATAGTTCAACCAAGGTTGGTTGAAGTACCGACCTTACAGTTGAAACAACTTTGCAGTCTGCCGCAGTAGCCCACAATATTGATAGGAATATTTGTTTTTATTGGCACAGAATGGCAACTTGCTCCATAGGAGTCTGAAAAAGCAGAGTAAGAAGAAAGTAATTTTTATATTTCAGAAGGATCCTTGACTTTGCAGACTGATTCTTTGCCACATATTCTTTTAAGTATATGCTAAAAAATGTTAAAAGAACATGTTTAGAGAAATGTTCAAACATATGCAAAAATGGAGGATCGTGTAATGAAACCCACTGTCCACCAACGCCCAGTAGAACGAGTAACAGCAGTGGGCCAGTCACATTTCATTTGTATCTTTTCCTCCTTTTTCTCTCCTTACTGAAGCACTTTGAAACCAATCCCAGTCATTATAGCATTTTATTTGTAAACATTCCCGTATGTATTGCTCCAAGGCGGTGATTGTCTTCTAGTGACACTGTATCTCCAAGGACTTGAATGGAGTCTGGAGACTTTTTCTTTCCCCTTTTACAGGTAACAGCATTACTTATAAAATTGCACTTTAAAATATGGTATTAATTTTTTAATATGATAAGATGTTTGATCTAGATTCCGATTTTTTCTGGAAGCCACCAAGCTGTTGGGCAGTAGCCAAATGCATTAACCATATGCACTGCTCAGAAGTCCAATAGCTGATGGAAAATTTGGGAGCCCATGTAAGGAAACCTCAGTTAAGGCTGCTTGCAGTTAGACTTGAGGACAGTGCCCCTAAGTGGCCACTCTGGGCAGTTCCTTGAGTAATGCGAGCTGCATAGAATTAGGAGACATTCATTAAAAAAAAAAGAAAGGAAGAAAGAAAGAAGGAAGGAAGGAAAGAAAGAGCTGAGATTAATGTGAATAACGCGTCAGTGAACTCAATATTGTCATTTCAACATGTGACTATATACAACATTGAACCACAAGCAGGGACTTGTTTCTGAAGCTGAGCAGGGGGTGGTAGCAGTTAGAAGCCCCCAGCTACTCTGTAGGAGACAGCTGTGGCAGTCTGCTTCTGTAAAGATTTACAGCCTCAGAAAGCCCATGGATTTTGCCAGTAGTGGGATTTTTTTGATTTTGAAGTCTTTGAAATTCATGGGAAAATGGAATTGAAAGATAGCTTGGAAAAGAAGAAGGGTCGCACCAATCACAAAGGCATCCACTGAGTGCTCCACTGGGAACTTTTCTGGCTCTGGGAAGAGGGCTGGTCGGGTTTCTCTTGGTGGCATTTTAATCCAGCTCCAGCAAAATGGGGACTTCATGCACGAGAGCAGAGTTTGATTCTCGGCCAGTGTACCTCATGTACAGTCACTTACTGGGATGTCAGTGGAGGCTCTGAGCAGGTTTTAGAGGTACTTTTAGAGTAGGCAGTCTGCTTCCGAAAATCAGTGAGTGGATCACAAGGCTCCATCCCATAATCAGTTCGTTGTAGGATGATTTGGGACTAGGCAGTGTTTCATTGAATTGATTTCATTGTGCATGGAGTGGCCATGAATTGGGGCTGGCTTCACGGCAGCTCACAACAGCACAGCCGGAGTGCGGCCGGGCCCCAGGAACCTGTGTGCTCTCTCCTTCTCTGGTCTTTGCTGCCTTGGGCAGCTGTGCCATCAGCTTCTCTTCTCCGGTGTGAAGTCCATGTGATGGGCAGGCATCTGCTCACAGCTCCCCACCACACAGTCTCTCTCCTTCTCCTGCTTTCAGTCTCTCTCCTTCTCCTGGCCCATCTTGGGTCTGGTGGGACTAACTCAAACCTAAACCAAACCCAATGCTGTCAAGTTGATTGTGACTCCTAGTGAGCCGTGGGACAGTGTGGGACTATCCCATAGGATTTCTGAGGCTGTCAGTCTTAACAGGAGCAGACCACCTCACCTGCCCATGGAGAGAATGGTGGGTTCAAACCCACCATTGCTTAAGCCATTGCATACCAGGGCTCCTCTGGAGAGGCTAACAGGAAGTTACCTTGCACAAAGAAGGCAGCCAGGAGCCCACCCCGAGGATGTGGTTGTGACTTGGGCAGGCTCCCAGAGGATCCACCATCTCTTTTCCCCGATTGGGCTCCTCCCTGGCCCCCACTTTGCTTCTGGATTTGCTGTGCACGAGCCCAGCACATCACAAACAGAAGACGGGTGATTTGAAGGAGAGCATGGGAGCAGATTCCCTCCTGAGTAATCTTGCTTTTTACTGTCAGGTGACCATGTTTTGTTCTGCTTTGTTTCAGACCCCCCTCCTCCAGATGGATCCCCTAACATCACGCTGGTCAGTCACAATTCAGTAAAGGTCAAGTTCAGTGGGTTTGAAGCCAGCCACGGGCCCATCAAAGGCTACGCTGTCATCCTCACCACTGGGAAAGGTAAAGGAGGGTCACACAGGGTAGCCAGTCAGTGTTGCTGATGACCAGCTGCCATTTCTGTGCCCACCGAGGCACATTGATGATACAAATACTTGGCTCTCTTTTACCCTATAGCCCACATTTTGACCTCAGACCTGGAGAGTTCTGGTTCGGCAGTCTTTTAGTGTAAAAGTCTAGAAGAGCAAGTATTTTCAGCTTTGTAGAACAAATGCTATGTTGCAGTTCTTCAACTCTGTATTGTCACATGAAAGCAGGCATACCGAGGGCTGTCGAGTCAGTTCCGATTCATGGTGACCTCGTGTGTGCAGAGTAGAAATGCACTCTAAAGGGTCATCCTAACTGTGACCTTTGGAAGGAGTTTGCCAGGCCTTTCTCCCGCAGTACTGCCGGCTGGGTTCAAACTGCCAGCCTTTATTTTAGAAGCCAACAAAGCAGCCACAGGCAGCCCATGAAGAACAATCCAGCTTTACTTACCAAAACCTTACTCTTTGACAACACAGGCTCTTTTAGGTGACAGAATATTAACCTTCACCAGCCTCTCTCTCTCTTATCCCCAGAGGGGATGACTTTCTCTTGAAAGGAAGTAGCAGTAGAAGGTTTGCATTTATTGGTGTGACGTACAAAGATCCTCCCTGAGAGAAGAAGTAGATCAAAGGCGGCCTTTTGTTAATGGTCCCATTACGTTGTTTGACATCTTTGACAGCTGCATGGGGGTGCCCCTCACAAGACCAAGGCCTAAAGTGTCACATTTTATTGTTTTGAGAGGTTATCTAAAAGAAATGAGAATGAGGGCAGTGCCTCCCATGCCATCTAGTCTTCATCAAGGATGAGACCACATCTGCTGACAGATGTGGGGACCCTGGCAGATGAGGAATTGGCAGGGGTCATGACAACTTCAAACAGCACTGCTAAGATCTCTCTCTTCCTGTCTTCTTATTTTGGGTCTGTTTCTATCTCTTGGCCATTTTGCTGCTCAGACATTTTGCTGAATGAGATTCCTATGCCTTCATTTCCTCATCTATGAAATGGGGAGAATAAACCTAGCAGAAATGTTGATGATTCGAACTCACCCTGAGGTGCCTCAGAAAACAGAGCTGGCAATCACCTCCTGAAAGGTCACAGCCGTGAAAAGCCTGTTTTTTCACAGAGCAGTTAACTGTACACACACGAGGTCGCCATGAGTGGGAATTGGCTTGACGGTGACAAAACACCATAGCAGGTTTCTGTGATGAGATTATGGTGAGGATGTGCCAGGCAGAGAGCACACTTTGAGAGGTGGTCTCTAGTATTAGTCCCCAGTGTCCATGTTATTGTCATATGTGTTGGGGCTTCAATCACTGCCATCATCTTCCGAGTTAAAAAAATTTTTTTTAAGAGACGGTTGTTATTATTCTTATCCCACAGTGTCAGGATAATTCTTTATAAGTATCTGATAATGCATCTTACGACACATAGGACTTTAAATCACTGTCTGCCATCGCTTCCTTGTAATTTTATTTTTCTGTGCCTCTCTTAGCTGAGCACCCATCAGTCGATGTCTTGAAATATAATTATGAAGATTTCAAAAACGGGGCTTCGGATACGTATGTGACATACCTCATAAAAACAGATGAGAAGAGACATTCTCAGGGCTTGCCTGAAGTGGTGAAATATGAAATTGATGTTGGGAATGAATCAACCACGTGTGGCTATTTCAACGGAAAGTTGGAACCTCTTGGCTCCTATCGGTAATGACTTTGGTTCTTGCTCTTTCGGGGGCTGAGTGTAGTGAGCCTGAAGCTCTATGTGGGCTGGGGCATTGGGTATGTCTCAGCTGCCTCTTTTGTCTGTCTGTCTCCTCTAGGGCTAGTGTGGCTGGTTTCACCAACATTACCTTTAACCCTCAAAACCACGGACTCATAGATGGAACTCAGAGCTACGTGACCTTCAGTAACTATTCAGAGGTGGTTTCCTTGCCTCAGGATCCAGGTAGAGGAAAAATGGCAGTGGCCTATGCGGTTTAGTGGGTTTTTGTTGACATTGTGTCTACAGAAAGTGTTGGGTCAGGATGATTGGTGTGCCAGACTCTCCCCCTTAGAAGCTGACATGTGACTTGCTGCCTCCCCTGAGGCCACTGACTGAACCCTCTTTGCTAATACTATTAATTTCTGGATGCCTGTTGATTGCTAATCTTAAAAAATGATTCACTCTTTTTATTTCCATATGGTCACTTGTGTGCCTGTGTTCCAGACACACCTGTGAATTCTGGTGCATAGAATCCTGGGCTGGTCGTTCGAGCTGCCTGTGGTCCATGTTCCGTGAAATCCTGGGCTGGTTGTTCGAGCTCTCTGTGGTCTATGGTCCGTAGAATCTTGGGCCGGTTGTTTGTGCGGCCTGTGGTCCATGGTTCCTGGGATCCTGGGCTGGTTGTTTGAGCTTCCTGTGTGAATACCTCGTGAAGTACTTCCTGTTTGGACTTTTCTCAGGTGTCATCTGTGGAGCAGTGTTTGGCTGTATCTTTGGTGCCTTGGTTATTGTCGCTGTGGGAGGCTTCATCTTCTGGAGAAAGAAGAGGTGATTGAAGACTACTTACATAGAATAATAATAATAAAATAATAATTTACAAAAACAACCCATGCTGCTGAGTTCCTTCCTACTCATGGTGACCCCATGTGTGTCAGAGTAGAACTGTACTCCCCAAGTCTTTCTTTCGAGACATCACTGGTTGGGTGTAAGCCACCAACCTTTTGATTAGCAGTCATTGGAATTAAATGTTTCCATCCCCCCAGAAACTCTTATGTTAACAATAATACCCTACTGTTTCAGGAAGCTTTTTGAAAAATTATTATTTAAGATTTTAAACATTCCCCAAAGTGTAAGCAGTAGTATGTTGTTGTTAACAACTGTTGAGTCAGTTCCAACTCACAGTGACCCTGTATAGGGTTTCCAAGGAGTGACTGGTGGGTTTGACCCATTGATGTTGTGGTTAGCACCCCTGTGCTTATCTTGCATTGCCACACCGGGGCTCTAAGCAAAGTATGTTGTGGTTGTTGTTAAGTGCCATCAAGTTGGTTTTGATTCCTAGAGACTGTGTATAGAGTTTCTGATGCTGTAAATCTTTGCAGGAGCAGAAAGCTTCATCTTCCTCTCTTGGAGTGACTGTGGGCTTGAACTACTAACTAACCTTGTGGTTCACAGTGCAGTGTTGATCCTACAGAGCCACTGTGTTCCCCAAGCAATAGTATAAGGAGTCTCTATTGCCATTACATATAGAAATTAAACAGCACACTATTAAACTGCCAGTGGGTCACGGAAGAACTCAAAAGAGAAATCACACCTTTCCTAGAGTCAAATGAAAATGAAGACAGAGCAATACCCAAACTTACAGGTTGCAGTGAAGGCGGTACTCTGAGGGAAACTCATAGCAATAAATGACTATGTGAAAAAAGAAGAAAGACTTCAACTCATTAGCCTAACTTGACAACTTGAACTAGAAAGAGAAGAATAAGCTAAGCCTAAGCCTACAGAAGAAAGGAAATAACAATGATGAGGGTGGAAGTAACGTAATAAGTAATTTAGAGCAGAAACAAATGTTCATATATATATATAATGTTTGTGAAGGGATGAAAGCACTAAAGTCACCTTTTTTAATCTGATGGACCTTTTTCTTTTCTACAGGAAAGATGCAAAGAACAATGAAGTTTCCTTTTCTCAAATTAAGTAAGTCTCTAGGAGAGCTCTGTTTTGAGATATTGAATCCCCCAATCTGGGTAGTGACTGGAGAAGTGTTGATGGAACTTGCTGACGTTTGTCTTGATTGACACATTTAACCGTAATATCTGGAAGCTGTTGCTCTGTTATCCTGCAAGGAATTAATATTTTGTTAGTTTCTGGAAGCTATTTTCCTTGCCATTTCCTACTGACAAATGCATATTTTGTGATGGGGTTTTAATTGTTAATAAAAGAGTTATCAAGATCTAGAGGGATATATCAAGGGACTTACTTAACATAAAATCTGTTAGTTATATATCTCCATCTAGAAATCAAATCTCATTCATATCAGTGTTTTGTAAAGAATACAAAATTACACTGACGTTTGTTGCCCTACCCCCAAATTATACTCTGGGTTTTGTTCTTTTGGGAAGATGTTTACTATTGTCTCCAGAGTCATGAATGAGTCGATCTTTCTAATGGTTTGTTTTCTTTTTCCTTCTATGATAAAGACCTAAAAAGTGAGTAAAACTTATATATGTTTTTGCAACTTGTATTTTTCTATTTTGATGTGAACCTTATTGACTGCCAAAAAATTCTCACAAATGATTTTGTTTTTGTAGATCCAAGTTAATCAAAGTGGAGAATTTTGAGGCCTACTTTAAGAAACAGCAAGCTGACTCCAACTGTGGCTTTGCTGAAGAATATGAAGTAAGTGGCTATCACTAATATGCTCTTAGTTGTTTTATCGTATGGTTTCCTTGAGAGTTGGAAAATCTCCCATTTTGGTTTTACTGTTGAAGTTCTGAGTAGGGGATAAGAGGCCTGGTGGAGGGGGGACAGACACTTGCATGTCTCCCTGGGAGCAGTTCCACTAGGGTCACTGTGACTGTGTGCTTGTTGAGTCGGTTCTGACTCACAGACCAGAGTAGAAGTGCTCCATAGGGCTCTCAGGGTCGTGACCTTTCAGAAGCCGATCACCAGACTGGTCTTCCAAGGGGCCTCTGAGTGAGTGTGAATCATCACTCTTCCTGGTACCTAAGCAGAACACCTAAGCAGTTGTGCTACCTAGGAAATCGACTTCTAGTGGAGTGTGGGCTTAATCTTTCTGGTATCTGAAGGTTATCCAGAGAGTATGTTGTCAAATGCCATCAAGTCAGTTCTGACCCATACTGACCCTGTATAGGGTTTCCGAGGAGCAAGCAGCTGGTGAGCTTGAACCGCCGACCTTGCAGTTCAAACGGCTTTGTAGTCTGGCACATTAACCCACCGCGCCACACCAGGACTCCTCCAGAGAGTATAGAAACGGGGAATTCATGTGATGGGTACTATGAAGTCAAATAATTAGGAAGCTATAAGAGCTGGAAATAAACCGGGGTTGGCTGTGTGGTTCTGACTGTCTGTGGGGTTGGTGTTAACCCATGTATTTCATGAATCCCTGTGGGAGGTGCTCCATGGCCTGTTTCTGCCAATCTTTCCATCACAAGCTCTCCCCCTGGCCAGTACAAGAATAGCCCCGCTCAGAATCAACTGTGTATAAACACTCATCCTTCATGTAGTGTCTCTGCAGTGACATCTTTCTCTTTATTAATATTCTCCTTACCACTGCTGGAGTCCTGGTGTGGTGCTGTGGGTTAATGTGCTGGACTGCAAAGTCGGTTTGAACCTCAGGGTCGGGAGTCGAAGCTCACCAGCTGCTCCTTGGAAACCCTATACAGTCTCTATGAATCAGAACTGACTCAACAGCGCACAACAACGACAGGCAACACGTACCACTTGTGTTAGTTTTCTACGGCTTCTGTGACACATTACTACATATCTGGTGCCTTAAAACAGCAGAAGCTTCTTTCATAGTTCTGGAGGTCAGAAGGCCGGAAATGAAAGTGTTGGCAGGAACTTGTTCTCTGGGAAGGCGCTAGGAAAGAATCCTTCTTTGCCTCTCGCAGCGTGTGCTAGTTTCTAGCATTCCTTGATTGTTCGCTTCATATGGCTGTCTCGTCTTATCTCTGTGACTGTCCTGCGTGTTTCTTTAAAGAACACCTGGCAGTGGATTTAGGATCCACCCAGATAGGATCATGTATCAAGATCTTAATTATATCTACAAAGACACTTTTCCAACCAAAGTTCTGGGAGTTAAGCCATGGGTATATCTTTTGCGGCGGAGGGTTGGGGTGGGGTGGTGGGGTGCGGCGCACCATTCAGAACAGACCTCAAACACTACCTCTTCCATGCCCTTCTCTCTGGTCCTGTTAGAGGATTTCATTTCTGTGTCCTCACAGAAATGAAAGCCTTGTTTCATATCTGACATGTGGCTTGCTACCAATATTCAGAATTTGTTTAAACCTCTCTTGTAAGTGGTGGTGGTGTGCCGTGGAGTCAGTTCCAACTCATAGCGACCTTGCACAGGGTTTCCGAGGCTGTAAATACTTATGGGAGCAGAAAGCCTCATCTTTCTCCTGCGGAACAGCTGGTAGTTTCAAACTTTGGGGCTAACCTTGTGGTTAGCAGCCCAATTCGTAACCACCACACAACCGGAGCTCCTTTCTCTTGTAGTAACATTAGTTATTTCTCTCTGTCATCTCCCTGCCCGTTCAGGTCCCAGATTGTAGGCTTCTTGAAGGGAAATATTGTCCTTTTTTTAAAGTAGTTTATTTATGAGTGAAAATATGTATACGCAAAACATACACCGCTTCATTTTCTACATGTGTAATTCAGTGACAGTGGTTTAATTCCTCAAGCTGTCCCAACTTTCTCAACAACCTGTCCAAACTACTGCACCGCCGTCAACCCAGACTCACCACCCCCACCAGCTTCTCATTTCTCCTTTTGAGTTATTGTTGTCAATTTGAACACATATAGATAATTCTTTCTGAGTATCATGATTAGTGCAAATATTCCTTTGTAATTAGAACAGACTATTATTTGGTTCAAAGATGACTTCAAGGGGATTGTTTTGGTTCAAAGAGATTTCCTCAGGATAATAGTTTAAGGGGGAGTTGTCATCTTTAACAGCTCCAGAAATTCTAGACTCTATGAAAATTTTAAATTCAATTCTATACCCCCCCTCCCCCCCAGTCATGATCCTTCTCTAGACTCCTTGAGCTAAATGTTGAGCGATGGTAAGTGGGCACCATCCAGTTCATCTGGGCTCATGGCAAAGGAGGCAGTTGTTCCTGGAGGCACTCAGATACACATTGCATTTCCTCCAGCAATTCCCGACCCTCCTTCTTCCCCTGTTATTCCCAGAGAATGAAGACCGACTCTGCCTTGGATAGCAGCTCTGAGATGTTTATGAGCCCATGCACTACACAACAAGCTAATACTTAGTTTGGTAGGACAGAAACATCAAAATAAATGTTAGGTCAAATGACTGGAATACCCTATAAAGCCAATTTTCTCCTAACTGCAGCATTTCACTTGTTCTGTGGTGGTCTCCTATGCCACGACTAAATGAATGACTCCTTTGTTTTCAGGACCTGAAACTTGTTGGAATCAGTCAGCCTAAATATGCAGCAGAACTGGCTGAAAATCGAGGGAAGAATCGCTATAACAACGTCTTGCCCTGTAAGTTTCTGTCTCCACGCACTCTCCTTGTTCTTCCCTGTAGTAACCATCACGTCTCTAACAGTAGAAATGGAGCATGAGCTTGTAGCTGTGAAACATAAAGCAGTGCATCTTTAAGATGTGATTTTTTTCTTTCATATTTCGCTTTTCCTCTCTCTTGGGTGCAACTTTTCCACACTGTTTGCTTCTAATGAGCTTTTGTTTCTTACATTACAGATGATATTTCTCGAGTCAAGCTTTCGGTCCAGATCCATTCAACTGATGATTACATTAATGCAAACTACATGCCTGTAAGTGGGGCGGTGCCCCCAAAGGACTTGTTTGTCCTCGTGAGTCCTTAGAGCTCCGTTTTATTTTTTGGGTTAATATGTATTGCTTTCTGTTTTCAGGGTTACCATTCCAAGAAAGAGTTTATTGCCACGCAAGGACCTTTACCCAACACTCTGAAAGATTTTTGGCGTATGGTTTGGGAGAAAAATGTCTATGCCATTGTTATGTTAACCAAATGTGTTGAACAAGGAAGGGTAAGTACCTTAAAGTACTTATATATATATATATAAAAGCAAATAAAATAAAAATAAAACTAAAACCCTACAAAGAACTCTCTGAAACTTTTCCACCTCTATTCATAGAAACTTATTTTCTCTATCTCCCATTGTTGTTGTTGTTGTTGTTAAGTGCTGTCGAGTCGGTTCTGACCCATAGCGACCCTGTACAGGGTTTCCGAGGGTATAAATCTTTACAGGAGTAGAAAGCCTCATCTTTCTCCCGCAGAGCGGCTGGTAGTTTCGAACCGCTGACCTTAAGGTTCGCAGCCCGATTCGTAACCACTACGCTACCAGAGCTCCCATAAAGCAGTTAAAAAAACAAACTAAATCCAAAGCAAAGCTGTTTTGTTATTGCCTTTCCTTGTAGACAAGTAACACTCATTTAAATGTTGCAGTTGGATTGATTAACTACCAAGAATTGGGTTAGCATAGTGGGAAAATTCTCACGTTTGGAGCAAGAAAGTGCTGTTCATGATTCAGCTCTGCCCCAATCTATCAGCTGTGTGAGCATACCCAAGCCCATCTTTTGTCTAAGGCACCAGCTGCTTAGTCTGTGACAGGAGAGATTCAGCCAACTTGGTGATTTTCAAACTTGAGTTTTCAGCAGTGGGCCCTTTCTGAAACAAAGTCTTAGACTTATTCCCGGATCAGTCTCAGCCAACTTTTCTGCCTCTGTGAAGGCCTGGAATCCCCTTCTGGTAATCAAGTTCCGTGTTTCCATAAATGGGTGGAAGAAAATTTGAAATCACATGATACCTTCAAGAATTCTGGGCCAGAGGAATGGGGCCCAACATTGCTTAGTGACTTTTTTTTCATGGGAGGTACAGGATAGGAGGCCCTTCCTGAAACCTGAAGCCAGAACCTAGTGATTCTTTCATATCTTTAATATGTACCAGAATCACTTGGAGGGTGGTTTCCCCTCTGAGCCTCTAATTCAGAGTGTTTGGCGTGGAGCCTAAGAATAGCGTTGATGACAATCCCAGACAATGCTGTTGGTGTCGGTCTGGGGTCCGTACTTGGAACAGCACTGTCATAAGTGACAGTGAGAACCTATCAGGCCTCATTTCCTGTAATGCTCTTTATTTCGCCTTAATTGAGCAGATGTTTATTGAACACTAAGTATGTTCCTGTGCTAGGGATGCTATGTAAGAATGAGGGAAAGATAACAAAGAATAGTAAGAGATGGTTCCTCTCTCCATGTTGCCTGTGAACAGAAAGTGTTAGGTTCTGCACTTCCTTTGTGCAGCTGTATAGAAATAAAAGGCCGTTGCTTTATGAATGCAAAGCCACTTTATGGTGCTGTTGAACTAAGAGTTTAGCACATGGAAGATGCTCATAAATATCTGCTAAATTACAGTGATGTGGTGGAATGAATGGAAAACATGATGAATTTAAATGGGCCACTTTCAGAATCTCAGTGGCTGCAACTGATGCTGGATGAAAGGAGAAGGGAACTGGCATCTATTCTGGAGGGCTTTTATATATTTCGTACAATACATATGGAGTCCTGGTCTGGCGCTGTGGGTTAATGCAGTGGACCGCAAGGTCGCTTTGAACTGCAAAGACAGCGGTTAAAATTTACCAGCTGTACCTAGGAAGCCCTATCACAGGGTTGCTATGAGTTGGAACCGACTTGAAGGCACTTAAAACAACAACTCTACATATACTAGCTCTTCCCCTCAACAACCTTGAAGTTCCCATTTTATAGATGGGGAAACTGAGATTCAGAGAGTTTACGAACTTGCCTGTAAGGTAGAACAAAAATCCAGACTATAGGAATCTGAGCTGAGCTGCGAATCAGCCAGTGTGTGCCCAAGCCACTATGAGTCCTTTCTGGGAAGAGTGGTCCAGACATGGGGACCATTTATATATACAGATTCATGGGCCAAAGTCAGGCATTGATTTTAAAAACAAAACAAGTCTGTCCAGGGAAGTCAGGTCATTGAGTCCGGTTTGAGAACTGCTGTAATAGAGAACACATTTCTGGATGTTGTGTGGTCTCTTTGTTTAAAACAAACAAACAAAAAAACTTTAAAGGTCATTTGCCAAATGAGGGTTAAGATACTATCACAGAACTGCAACGTTCTTTATTTCTATTCATACCTGTGCACCAACTTTACCAAAATCAAAGTTCCCCAACATGCAGTTTGATTGCCTTTATTGGTGTTTGTGCAGGTAATGATTGTAGTGAGTGTGTGTCTGAAAAGGGTGGGAATGTTCTTACATCTTCTTGTTGCTGGGAGTCATGGACCAATCCGCTAACAGTTGTGGAGTGGCTGCTAAGAGACCAAGTGGGGCTGGGTCACAGGTGAAGGGGCAGCTGCTCTACTCTGAATGTAAATTGGCATCCATGCAAAAATGCCAGCCCAGTGTTGTCAGATCTTCTTCTTTTACCAGAGAAGCTAGAAATCTGGAATGTTTAAATGAAAAATCTATTAGTTAAAAAAAGAACTAGAAACAAAACAAAACACAACATAAATGAAAACCAAGAACAGTTTTAAGGGCCACGCAGAAACAAGCTAACGAACGGATTCAGCCGCTGTTCAGGATTCGGTCTGTCCTGTGAAGTTTGCTTGTCTGGTAAATGGTGCCATCTGTGTCTTTGAGTGAAGCTGTAATTTTGTTTTAGACCAAATGTGAGGAGTACTGGCCCTCCAAGCAGTCTCAGGACTATGGGGACACAACTGTGATGATGACATCAGAAATTGTTCTTCCAGAATGGACCATCCGAGATTTCACAGTCAAAAATGTAAGTAAGAGGCCAAATATGGATAAATCGCGTACGTTGTCGGTTGCTGTTGGGTCAGTTCTGAGTCCTGGCAACCCCATGTGTTACGGAGTAGAACTGTATTCTGTAGGCTTTATGAGTCTGTTCACCTGGACTTTATTCCACGGTGCTGCTGAGTGGTTTGAACTGCTACACCATCTGCACTACCCAAAGCCCCAAACCCACTGCCATCAAATCACTTCTGACTTATCCTGACCCCAAAAGGAGCAGATGCCTTCACCTTTCTCCCATGGAGCCACTGGTGACTTTGAACCACTCACCTTGTGCTTAGCAGCCCAGTGCTTATCCTACAGTACCACCAGGGACCTTAAATCTCTGATATAATTTTGGGGTGATACATTCTTTATGCAATGGAAGAAGATTTCTGTTTTCTGCACAGAATGAAATAATGCATACCTTCCTACACCTGCCTTTCTGATGTGGCACTGGATTGCTAACAGCAAGGTCAACGGTTCAAACCCACCAGCTGCTTCTCAGAAACCCTGAGTCGAAACTGACTTAATGGCACTTAACAACAACCACCTACACCTCAAGACAGGCCCTTAGCTGTACTTTCTTGAGGGGAATTTCCTAAGTTCTTCCTGAATAAGCACCACCTTAAAACCGTGGTGCTCATGCCATCTCCACTGCATACCAAGGACTTTCGGCTTATTGGTGGCAAATGTGGCATGAGGAGTGGCCATTTGCTTTGAAGGGAATTTATGATAACAGTAACATTAAGTGAATTTCTGGGCATGTGAATATGACCCCCCCCCCCTTCTTCCTAAAAGTTGCTAAAACAAGTGCGGGTGAGTTGTGTAGGTAGTCTAGGAAATCAAGTCTGAGCCCTTCTTGTGCTTTTTATGAGGGGCTGGACTACAGAGGCAGGTAGTTCCTTTAGATGGGCATGGCACTGCCAGCTGTATGCTGGTGTTGAGTTGCTTAGCTGACTCTCATCTCTCCTGTGCACATCGCGTGTCTTTGATGTGTTGGCAGCCTCCTCTCTGAATTGCACCCCTACCCCTGTCCTTGGCTTCTAGGTTCAGACCAGTGAGAGCCATCCTCTGCGACAGTTCCATTTTACCTCCTGGCCAGACCACGGCGTTCCTGACACCACAGACCTGCTCATCAACTTCCGGCACCTAGTTCGTGACTACATGAAGCAGAGTGCTCCTGAGTCACCCATTCTGGTGCATTGCAGGTGTGTATGCAGATGACATTCTGTGTGTGAGGAGGTTGGAGAGGAGGGTGCTTGGGCTTTTGAACATGTATGTATTTCTGAATACTTTAGAAGAGCAAGGAAAATGAGGGAGGGAACTCAGTAGGCACTTATAATTCAAGAAAAGTAGCAATAAAGGAAGGCGGCGGGGGTTGTGTTGCTTCGGTGGTAGAATTACCCCTTCCATGTGAGAGATCTAGGTTTAATACCAGGCCAAGGCACCACAACCCTATCCGTCAGTGGCGGCTTCCATGTTGCTATGAAACCAAACAGGTTTCAACAGAGATTCTAGGCTAAGATAGATTAGGAAGAAAATCCTGGTGACCTACTTCCAAAAACCAGGCAATGAGAACCCTACGTATCACAATGGTTCAGTCTGCAACCGATTATGGAGATGCTACTGCATCCCATTTCATTGTGCACGGGGTTGCCATACGCACGGGGCTGACCTACCATCAGTGAGCAGCAACAGCATGGATAAGGGACCATGGACTTGCTCTCTACACCCTGAGATTCTGGAGAGAGGGCCTATAGGCCAGGTACTTGATTTTGAACATCATTTTATTGGAACCCATTCACTTACTTACACATAATCTATTATTGATTTCTTGTTACAATGGCAGAGTCGAGTAGTTAAGACAGAGACTATATGGTCTAAAAAGGCAAAAAGTATTTACTCTGTAGCCAACTCCTGCTGGAGAACAATCAGGAGTTAGCTTTAAAGCAGAAGGAATCCATTTAGGACAGAAGGAAGGAGAGGCTATCTTGACTGGAACTGAGGATCAAGAGGCTCTAGGGAAATGTCATCTTTGTGGCATTTGACACAATGATAGTTTGACCTATGGGTACCAGTCCCAAGTCAGTGCTTCTCAGGAGCTGAGGTGAGTCTTTCCAATTAAGCAAATGAGCATTGTCCTCAAAGATCTTGCAGTGTAGTGTGAGGGGAGGAGATCAGGATGCCTTACACGTGGCCTTCATGGAGTTTTTCATTGGAGAGGGACCCACCACCTGTTGTCCTTGGTTTAGGAAGGGAGAAGTGGAGCTGCACTGGGGAAAGCTGGGAGGTTTGTGATCCATGCAGCCTGCTGTGACCTGCTGGCTTCCTCTGTCTTTCAGTGCTGGGGTCGGAAGGACAGGCACTTTCATTGCCATTGACCGTCTTATCTACCAGATGGAGAATGAGAACCCTGTGGATGTGTACGGGATTGTGTATGACCTTCGGATGCACAGGCCTTTAATGGTGCAAACAGAGGTGAGGCTGAGACCTGTGTCCAGCAGTCCCACCCATGTTCAAGAGGTTGCACTGTGTGTCACCCTTATGTTAAAATATTTCATCTTCTAGAACTTTCTGACTCTTGATTATGAGATAATACTAGATTTCCTTTCTAGACCTTGAATTGACTTGGGATTGAATTATTTTATACATTGAGACACTACTGGCTCAGCGGTCAAATTCTTGTTGTCAGTATGGGAAACATGGGGGCCAGTGCACCTCATGTGAAGGCTTGTTATGTAGCTATGATGCCGAACAGATTTCAGCAAAGCTTTTAGACAAAGACAGAGTAGAAAGAAAGGTCTGGTGATCGGCTTCTGAACATCAGCTAGTGAAAACCCTGTGGATTGTTGCTGTCCGATCCACAACCAGTCATGGGGATGGTGGATGGCACAGGACCAGGCTGTGTTTCATTCCATTGTATGTAGGGTTGCCATCAGTGGGGGCTGATTTAACTGCAGCCAACAACCCCAACTGCATCCAGAGGCATAGTAACCTCAGTAATGAAGCAACAAACCAAGACCCCGGGTCTTTAATTTGCTGCCACTGGCTCACCAAATAATTTTATCAAGTCTCTGAATTTTGATTTCCCAGTTTAAACTTATGAAATTGGCATTTCTCCTCTTTTTTTCTGGAGTCCTGGTGTGGCACTGTGGGGTAATGCACTGGACCACAAGGTCAGTTTGAACCACAAGGTTGGTGGTTCAAACTCACCAGCCGCTCCTTGGAAACCTTGTATAGGGTCTCTATGAGTCAGAACTGACTCAACAGTACTTAACAACAACAACTCTTTGTTTCTAAGATCTGACCATCCTGAAAATAAGTGAATGAAACAGATTGACCAACCATTGACCAACACAAATACAGCAGTGTATCCGCAACCAGCCTAAAGGGTCTAAGGTGAATCTTCATAAGTACAGAACCATTTGAGAAAATGCATGCTTACTATCCACACAGTCATCTGTGTAAAGCCATTGGACTTGGCCTTTCCGGAAACGTCCCTGATGAACACTGTTTTTGAGCATGCTTTTTACAGAATATGTTGGGAGGTAGCCTTCCACAAAGCTGTAGGGGTGAATGCACATTGATGAGGATGAGAACAGAATAAAACATTTCCATTAGAGAACTCTATGAGTATGTGTGGTGTTTCTGAGTCTGAGTCTAGCAGAGAACCCTCTAGAGATGTGAGTACATTGTGGGGTTTGGGGTGGGCGCAGGGTTATGGTGGGAAGACCAACACCTCTGGCATTAGAGGAGTGGGTTTGTTTCTTCTTCTAATTATAGAGAGTAGTGTTTCTCCAAGGAGTCCTAGTGATGCAGTGCTTAAAGCTTGACTGCGAACCATAAGTTTGGCAGTTTGAACCCACCAGCTGTTCTGCGGGGGAACGCTGTGGTAGTCTGCTTCTGTAGCGATTTACAGCCTTAGAAACCCTCGGGGACAGTTCTACTCAGTCCTCCAGGGGCGACATGACTTGGAATCAACTTGATGGCAATGGGCTTTGTGAGAGTGCTTCTCAGGTTTTGATTATCTTTTGAGCCACACAAAAATCACATTTATTGTTGTTGTTAGGTGCCATCAAGTTATACTGACTCATAGTGACTCTGCATAGCATGATATCCTTCGCCAGCAGCTGGTTTCTCCTGACAATATGTCCGAAGTATGAGAGACGAAGTTTAGCCATCCTGGCCTCCAAGGAGCACTCTGGCTGCACTTCTTCCAGCACAGATCTGTTGGTTCTATGGGCAGCCCATGGCACTTTCAATACACATAGTTGCCTACAGATTCTGTCTCCTCCCTTTTTTAGCTCTGAAAGTAATACTTGTTCATATGCTGGCCCAGGACTGGGCAGTGCTTTGTTCTGGTGTGCATAGGGTCGCTGTGAGTCGGTACCAACTCGATGGCACCTAACAACAACAACAACTTGTTCATATGAAAGAAATTTAGCAATGTAGGACTCCATAGAGTATGTATTTTTCCCTTTTTCTTCCACTGTCCCACTCCCGAGAAAGAACTCATGTGTACAGTTCACCATATATCCTCATAGGACTCTTTGTGTCTGTTTGTAGAAACACACACACACCAATACATACAGAGTATTTGCAAAATCGGACCCTATTTTGTTATATAACTGGGCCCTGTGATTTTTCTCTCTTGCAGTATCAGGGATATATTCCTGGGTTGGCATGTGTTCCTTTTTCCTCCTTTTTTTTTTTTTTTATTTATACAAAAGATTCTAGGGTTTATTAATCTTCTGGTGAAAAATCCACAGTCATCGTAGATCAAGTCACAGCAGAATCTCTATTCCTCCTTTTTTCCAGCACCAACATTGACCTCTGCAGTCCCCCTGCCTTTTCTTCATTCTGTTTTTGCATTCTATGAGCTGTTTTCTTGAGGCTTGTTTTCTCCTCATACAGACCGTGTCTTGCAAGTCTGTTTGAGTTCATTTTTCTTTACATAATCCAAGACATATGTAATCCAAGCCTTGCTACCATCAAAATGGGTTCTGAATCCAAACACAAAGATGACATCTGGTTTTGTCTTATACACTTTGGCAAGTTTTTCCTGATTTTCTGTCTTAGGTGCTGTTGCCGTCTCTGCGTGAAGGACATTAATGACCATTTGTTTTTGCTGAAGTCATTGGGTGGTCATCAATTTACTCTGTCATTCATGATGGTGGCAGATTCTCAGGCATCCGGGGAGGCTTTCTTTTTCCTTTTTGTAGCTATCTGCAGATCCTGATTTGCCGTTGTTGTTGTGAAGTGCCATCAAGTCACTTCTGACTTATAGCGCCCTGTATAGGGTTTCCGAGAAGCAGCTGGTGGGTTTGAACAGCTGACCTTGTGGTTAAAACTGACCTTACTTATTGTAAGTGTGGTTACTTGCTTACTCTACAGCGTCATACCAAGTCTCCCAACTCTGTGCAATTCACTCCCACTCTTGAGAATTGCAATTCACTTCTTACCCTGCATGATCTTCATTAGCCAAATAAATTTGTCAGACTTTTTATTGTTTGAATGTGGGTTAGCATTTCCCCCCCTCTAAATGCTCCCTTTTTTCTCTCCTTGGGGCGAGAAGGTGGTGAATACTCTCTCTGGTTCAGAAAGCTGAGCCTTTGACTAGGTTACTATTTCGTTATGAGCTCTTGGAGGGGCTCTTCCCCAGAACATTACTGCCTTATGACATCTTATGCCGTAGGTTGGGTTCAAGTGGAAACGAAATATCACCTGGAGGATTTCCAGGGAAAGAGTATTTACTGCTGGCTGGCTGGGGATGGGGTCAGGGTCGGGATCTGTCAGAAACTTGGCTTTGTGTGTTCGACTCTGGGGTCCATGCTTATTTAATTGTCTCTTTCCTTATTCCATCAGGACCAGTACATTTTCCTCAATCAGTGTGTTTTGGATATTATCCGATCCCAGAAGGACTCAAAGGTAGACCTCATCTATCAGAACACAACTGCAATGACAATCTATGAAAACCTTGCACCAGTGCCCACATTTGGAAAGACAAATGGTTACATTGCCTGATTCCCAAGGAAAACCTTCCTGGAGTTAACCAGACCGACACACCCATGGCAAAGGAAAATGCCCTGCTGTTGACATGTTTCTATATGTCTGCTATCTTAAATCTTTGTTCTGTTGTGTTCCAACTAATTTCGAGGGTATTGAAGCTGCACATAGATGACGTGACCATTGTGAAGTTGGCTAGCAGGGGCTGTGGATGGGTGGTATGTGGTCAGCCAATTCCTGATTACCAAGGGGATGAGTTCTTTTTTTTTTTTTTTAGTTTTGTTTTGTTTGTTTGTTTTTTTTCTTGAGGATTATGGAAAACCAGGAAAAGTGAGCTGTAACTTTGTTTTGTTTTCTTTTTCAAAACAGGTTCTTTTTACAAAAGACTATTTTATATGATTCACATGCTAAAGCCAGGATTGTGTTGGGTTGAATATATTTTAAGTATCAGAGGTCTATTTTTACCTACTGTATCTTGGAGTTGAGTGGAGGGAAAATACATAGTTGTGGATGATTATCATGTCGGGAGGGGTGTGTGGTGCCTCTCCCACATGCGTTTTCTATTTGAACATGTGCCTTTTCTGAATTATGCTTCCACAGGCAAAACTCAGTAGATATCTATATTTTTGTATTGAATCTCATAATTGGAAGATATGGAATATTTAAACAGTAGTTTAGGATCCAAGGTTCCACCTTCTTGGTGACATTCCTGTTCTTGTTTGGTTCGAGGAGGTCTCTGTTCCCCTTTGCCCCTGTTTACTTGTGCTTCATTTTTTCCTTCCCCATTTCCCTTCTACTTTTCCCCCAAAGACTCTTCAGAGGACAACAGTTTCAGCCCATAGGTTGGATTAGAGAGGAAACAAAATACCACCTGGAGAATTTCCAGGGAATGACCAGGAACCCGATGGTGACAGAACTACTTTTCTTGGCCCTCTTTTCTTCTCCTTTTTCTCCTTTTTGTTTTGGTAAGAAGGATTATTTAAAGGTGCAATATGTGACGTAGTGAATCACGATGCTCTAGGTTTTTAGTAACGTTTTACTCAGGTTGGCGATTTATGTGTGTCTGTGTGTTTCTGTGTGTGTGTGTTTTTAAAAATGTGGCAATTTGTGAACAGTTCAGTGTGAAAACAGTGTCAAAGTAGCCCCTTTCCCCCCAAGATCCACTGGCTTTAGTCTCTCTCTGCAGTGACACCTATTGGTATCTGCTGTCTATATAAATACTTAAGTATATGTGTGTGTGTGTGTGTATATATATATATATATGTAAGTAAGTATATATATATATATATATATACTATCAAAATCAGTCATTTGTAGGAATCAGAATTGAGGTGTACAAACTTTGAATTTGTATCAAGGATGTAATTATTATTTTTAAAACCTCTTTTCACTATACTGCTGCTGTAATTACTTTGATTTAAAAAAAAAATGTAGATTAATCCTTTTTTTTGTGGGGGGGAGGGCACTTCAGGTGTACATCCACCAAGAATTCCAGAGTTTATGTGGATTTATTTTACTGGTACATAATCTGTAGATTTCTCAAGGCATTAACATGAAAGGATTTGTTTCTTTTTATTGTACATTGTGGCTCAGGTGATAATTTTGAAGATGTTATGAGTTTATCCTCCAACAAGCAATGAAGTATATCAGGACTTAATGAAGGAATATTCTAGTCCCTGTAGTCCTGTGGCTGTTTCCACAGTAATAAATCCTGCTGTAAACTTAGGACAAAAGTGTCCTAGTGAAGATGGGGGCAGGGTCTTCTTTGAGTCCCCTGGTCACTGTTGGTCTGTGGGAACCAACCTTCGGATGCTGCCACGTTCCTCACCTCACTGGCACTTTGATAACTGGGCATGTAAATGGGTATTTTAGGGCTATAAAGGGTGTGAACCACAGCGGACGTACAGCCCTCAATGCTGTGTCGAGGTTTAGAGCTTTACATCACTTGTCTCCCTTTCCCTTTGAGGTACTGAATGGATGGAGAGATGGTAGAGTGTTCCATGGTATTGGGGAAAACCTTACTTCCCAAGTGGAAATTGCACTTTTTTTTTTCTTTTTTCTGAATCCTTGGCTTTCTTGGTAGCAAGCAGCTCATTTGTTATTAGGCCATTGAAGGACTGACCTGACCAAGCTCAACTTTCGAGGAGACTTTGGCTCTCTAGGTGTGAATTGGGAGCCACGCTGTCCCTAGAGTGGAGAGGAAGACTGAATTCGGCCTACTGCAGATCTCAGAGAGGGCCGTGACTTTTTCAGCGATCTTGGGGGCCTCACCCCTCCCTACCCCAGTTTGTTTATCTGGAAACCATTGGGAAGGGCATGGAAGTATCAGATCCTGTGGAGACGCTCAGCCCGGCCACCTGTCTGCCCCGGAGATGGGGAATTCCCTCTGCACAGAATTCAAAGGAAAGGACTTGACCCCCAAAACTCTTCAAGCGACAACATTTATAAGCATGTTATATTAAAAGAGCAAAAACCAGAAACCATCCTCTCCTCTTCCTGGTATGGGTTTGGGAGGGCAGTGGCCCCACCAGTTGCTTTTGGACATCACCTCATCCCCCCTCCCTCTCAAATGCCAGGAGGAAGGCTTGTGGCCCAGAGGTCTGAAATTCCAATGGGCAGGTCAGGATGCTTCTCTGCAGACTGGGGAGACCTGGTAGTGGGGCAGTGAGGGTATTTCAGCATAGCCACGGGGAGGGGGAGATGCACCTGGTTGGGGGTGATGGTTGCCCAGAGGCGAGGAAAGTGCTTCTGAGCTTCTGTCCCAAACCCTTCCTAGCAACACTGCACTGAACATTGGTAAATCCCGTGGAATCATGCAAGGAGGGTTTCCCTGGCTAGTATTTGACAACTCCATGCAAAAGAGTAGCCAGTGAGGGTGGGGGACAATGAGAGGGCCTTTAGCTGGGTGGGGTGGGAGGTTGGGCTCTTAATGTCTTCTGCCAAGAGCAGGGATTATTGCCTCCAAAGGAGAACCTGTGATGGACATTTGGGGTCTGTTCACTGTGGCTGTATAGTGACCTTCAGCCAGACTTTGGCATAACTGATTTCTCTGGGTTTGTGCTTTGAAAAGTCAGAGGCTCCCTGGGGTAGGAATGGGGGTGGGAGTGGGGTCCCTTCTGCAGCTGATTCATGTTTGCTTTTCATCTGGTATGGAAAAGCCTGGTTTTCGTTTTAAAATGCTTGATTGTGCTTGTTTAGTTAAAACAAGTCTTGGCGACTGATGTTGATTTGCCTCAAAAGTCCAAGTTCTGAGTTTGCAGACTTGTAGCAGTTGTGTGTTTAACATACTGTAAACCTTTTCTCCCTCGGGGACACATAGGAATAGGAAGTGTTAATGTGGACTCTAAACTGTAATTTTCTTGTAACTATTTTGGAATGATGCATATTTCTAATGTTTGTTATACTTGTACAGAGTATTGCTGGTGGTTGCTTTTTTTTTTTAAAAATGAAAAAAATGTCCTGAATAAATTTTTTAAAAAGACTTACAAATACCAAATATAAAAAAAAGCCAATGCATTATGCCTTTGTTTCTTCCCCCCCGCCCCCCTGCCACTTCCTTATTTATTTCCATAATATTTACTAAGCAGTATGTTGTTAAGTACACCGTGGAGTTAGTTCCGACTCATAGCAACTCTGTACAGGGTTTCCGAGGCTGTAAATATTTACGGGAGCAGAAAGCCTCATCTTTCTCCCGCGGAACGGCTAGTAGTTTCTAACTGCCAACTTTGAGGTTAGCAGCCTGATTCGTAACCACTATGCTACCAGAGCTCCTTCTAAGCAGTATATCCTGGCCTGCGTTCCATTGAGGGGGTGGTGGTGGTGGTGGTGGTGGTAGTGGTGGTGGTTGCGTGCCATGGAGTCACTTCTGACTCGTAGCGACCCTGTATAGGGTTTCGAGGCTATAAATCTTTTCAGGAGCAGAAAGATTCATCTATCTCCTGCAAAGTGCCTGGTGGACTTGAACTGCTAATCTTGTGGTTAGCAGCCCAATCTGTAACCCAGTACACTACCGGGACTCCTTTCCATTGGGGGCATCCGTCCCCCAAATACTTTCCTTTCTGCATTGTCCACATCCAGGTTTATGAGGTGAAGGGGGGAGACTTGGAAGAAGCAACTGAGCACCTAAAACGTGGCTGACTTCATCTCATAGGCCTTGGTCTGTCTACCTGCCGATACTCATCTGATTGGGACAAACCTGTATTAGGCACGTCCTGGGATTTGGGGAGGAATTTTTGTTGATAGAATTGTGGAATCCTAGAATTGCTGTTGGTGCAATACTAACTGGGAGGTCGGGAGTTTGAATCCACTAGCAGCGCTTTGGGTGAAAAGACGTGTACTTGTATAAAAGTTACAAACAAAACCCCAAAAAACCCCAAACCCACTGCTAGACAGTTGATTCTTACTCATAATAGCCATATATAGGAGTTCCAAGGCTGTAAATATTTAAGGAAACAGACCGCTTCATCTTTCTCCAGAGCAGCTGGTGGGTTTGAACTGGTGACTCTCTTGTTGTTAAGTGTCATAGAGTTGGTTCTGACTCATAGCAACCCTGTATAGGGTTTCCAAAGAGCAACTGGTGAGCTTGAACTGCCAACCTTAATGTTATACCTTGGAGTCCTGGAGTGGCACTGTGGGCTAATGCGCTGGACTGCAAAGTCATTTTGAAAATCAGAACATGGAATGTACGAAGTATGAAATAGAAGAATTCTACTAACTTCTTCAATCTGAAATTGATCAAACATGCAATCAAGATGTATTGATCATTAGTGGCGATTGGAATGCAAAGGGTGGGAGCAAAGAGGAAGGATCAGTAGCTGGAAAATATGACCTTGATGATAGAAATGATGCTGGAGAACGCATGATAGAATTCTGCAAAATCAATGATTAGTTCATTTCAAATACCTTCTTTAGACTGCATAAAAGATGACTATACACATGGACCTCACCAGATGGAATACATAGAAATCAAATTGACTACATCTATGGAAAGAGACTATGGAAAATCTCCATATCA